AGGAAGAGAGAGGGCGGGAAAGACGAAGCTTAAGAAGAAAGATACAATTACAAGGGTGGTCTCCCCAAAATTACGGTTACATGCAAGATTAAGGGCGCCGACTAATCAGAGCTCCGTTGCAACCGCAAAAAAAAGCGCGCGAGCAACAAGGCAACGCGTGGCAAAAAAATCCTAAACTCTTAAATTCCTAGCTAATGCAAAAAGAACTTTAATAAAACGCAAATTCCGAAGAGAAAGTCTGAAATTCCAAGAGTCATCGAGGGCTCGACAACATTCGGAAAAAAAATTCAAAAAAGAAGCAAAACTTCCCGTGCGATTTCCGCACCTAGAACCTGACAACAGAACAAGAAGGAAGTGACGTCAAACATTATTAATCGCGCCTTTGTCGGCGCGACAGCAACTCAATCGGCCATCTCGGGACTTGCCGGGCCCTGAACCTAGCCATCCGAAAAGAAAAGACGCAAAAAGACGAAGAAGCGAGGACACCAATGCAATTTTCCTTCGATCCCGATCTCCCGTAATTGGCCCAACCTTCCCATCTTAGGACCTCTCATTATCATCGCGCAAAAAATTGCGCGGAACAAAAATTGGTTCGTCACAGCGTTTTCATCGGTCCTGCGAAAGATAGTTGCTTACCCGATACATGGTGTTGGAGAGTGCGTTTTCGAGACTTAGATGAGTCCCAAGGGGGACTGTCTATCCCTCCATTTCCATGCACATCCGATTAAGCACAAAAGCCTCCCTCGAGATTGGCCCTGGTCTTTTTCGCTAGGGAGCCCCCCGACCACGACTCATAAAAGCAACTACCGCCTTTCTGAAGCAAGCTACGACTGATCAATCCAGGAGTCCTTACCTTCAGGCGAGGAACTGTGTAACCGGTTGAACGCGTGAACGCGCGTTCGCGTTCAAATGTGGATTTGAACGCGGATTTAAATTCGCGTGCAAAATTGAACGGCGTTCAATTTTTTTTTTATTTTTTCATTTTTTTAAAAAAATATATTTCAATGCCTAAAAATAACTTTTTTTTTCTGTTTTGTTTTTTATGAGTTCTGTATGATGAGAGGTACATGCCTCTTAATTTTGGAGTCATTTTGCTAAGGAAAAAAAAAAGAAAAATCGCCAAAGATGGCGGTGTCAAATCGTGTTCGCTCACTAATTTCAATTCTTTTTTTACTTTTTTTTATTTTCTGTTTTCTATTGTTTTTTCCAATTTGGTAACGAATTTAGATGAAATGCTCAGGCAAATGTTGTTTATTTTATTTTTCTTCATAACATATTTATTTTTCGGAATTTTTTGARKTTGTTTTTTKTTTTTTTTTTCCGCGCGGAATTGAACTCCGCGTTCGGTCCCGTTCATTGAACGCTCGTGCATTCCGTTCAGTTTCTGAACGCAAAACCCGCATTCAATGAACGCACGGTTTCACAGGCGAGGAAGGGAATGGGAGGGCAGGCTGGTTGAGCCTAGTTCCCAAATCAAAAATATTATTGTAATAAACTTTGAAGGTATTCAAAGAGGAAGTCTCCCCTCCTAGTGACGATTTTTGGGGAGTGTCCATCTCATTCCGGGGGTCATATTGTGCCACTATGTCGACTGGTAATTCTTCAACTACTCCTATTTCCTCCCCCTGAATACCAAGCAAGTCTTCATCCAAGTCTTCTCCTCTGAAATCCCCCTCCTCGTCACCTCCCTATTCATTCTCCTTTTCCGGTTCATATTCCACATTTCTAACAGACTTTTCACTCAAATGTTTTAAAACCTCTAAATCCTTAGCGTTAAAAATGTAATTTCCTGCAGGATCGAGTTTCTCTCCAGATAATGAGCCAGAGCCCTGTTTCTCCAATTCCTGCTTAGCTTTCGATCCCTCTTCTTTCTGAATCTTCTTGACCCATCTTCGTTCCTTCCGGACTGGTCCCGGTTGTTCGGTTACGCCTGACAATCAAATTTTCCCCGTTCTCCTCCTCCTTGTCCTCATCTTTTTCATCCATAAACTGAGAGTTTTTTTCCCTTTCCTCAAATCCCTTCTTCAGGGTGACCTCATGATCGAGGGTTCCAGAGTTGAAACTTTTTTCCCCCAGCACCGTGTCCTCACCATTTTTCCTCGATTCTGGTCTTATCCATGCTGTCCCCGATCCTTCCAGGAAGTCTTGGGCACATAGGTCTTTTTCTGGCCTCCTTTCCACACTACTATCTCCCACGATTTCCCTGTTTTGGCTGGGGATGCATGGTGTTTTTCTGACTGAGGAGATTTGTTCACTCCATCCTCCTTCTGCTTCTCTTTCTCCTTTTCTCTCTCCTTTCCTTTGTTCTGAGGCTTCGGAGCCTGGTTATTCCCTTCCTTATCCATCTGACTTTTTTCCTAAGGTTTCGAAGGCCTCACATTCCTCCTTGCATTCTTGGGGCACTCGGGGTCCTCCTCATAATGGAAGTATCGTTTGCAGCGAGGGCACCAAGGTGTCCCTGCACACGCCACTTTGATATCAATAGAGCCAAATTCAGATAGATCAATTGTGAGGTAGGGTTTGTATCGAAATCTGGCCCAGGTGGCCAAATCGAAACGGATGTTCAGGAGCTCCGGGGAGCAAGGCTCTTTAAACGCCGGATAGGTTTTCAGGAGGGGGCCAAAAGCCACTTGCACTGCTTCCTCGAGCAGCGGAAGGGCTGAAATATGAATTTGTAGGCACCTAATCCAGAAAAACTGAAAACGCATCGCTTCCCTCCATTCATAAAGTTGGTTATTATTCATCCAGGGTTGGAACGAAATTTCGTAGGTCTTACCATCCAGCGAAATGGTGTCATTTTGTTTTCGCAACATGAATGTAGCGATCCGACTCGAGGTCGATACGTACGTGATAAGATTTTGACATTCATTATGAAAAAGGCCCCAACTCGGAGGTACATTTATGAGTCTATTGTTATTCCATCCATCTTCGTAAGTACGAATAAGTCTTTTTTTAACGTCAATAGGAAGAGAGGTGGACTCATCCCCAAACAACACAGTCACCTCATGTTGCTTCAACCACTCCACCTAAACTCTCAAAACCTCGAGGTCCATCATGACTTTAACGTAATCGCCACCTCTTTCCACCTTACTCGGATTCGAGGGTGGAGCCAGGTGTTTAAAAAACAGCCCGTCTGTAGCGGACCCACCAGGTGTGGTGCTCCGCTAGTGGTAGAGATGGAGATGGAGGAAGAAGGGGGGAGCGAGATGGCACAACGCAGCTCCCCACGCAAGACCCCAACGCACGTACTCCAAAAATGTGCAAATGAAGAATGAGGACGAAACAGACAACTGCTGGGGTATACCCCAGCGGACTGACTTGACTGGACTGGACTGGCTGGTACCGACAGAGGAACCGGCCTGGACTGGACTGGACTGCCCAAGGGGCTGGTCTCACAGGCCAACCAGAGGTCTGCTACACGATCCTCGGTCTGTGATGGATCGCCTAGATGCAAACACGCTTCCGCCAAGAAGCGGAACTCTACCAAAGAAAAAGAAAACCTGAGTAGTCTAGGATGCGGAGCAAGCTCCATGCTGAGTCCATGCGATGCAACCTAGGATAGAAAATGTCACAAAAACAGCAATGTCACAACTAACAGCCTAAGTGAAAGCAAAACAACTAACTAGCATACATGTCCTAGGAAAGCAAAAGCCGAACAGCTAAATCCTGGAAATGTGAGAGGCAGTAGCCTCAGTCTAAGAGCAACAAAGCAACAACAAGTCAATCATATGTCACAGGAGAAGTGTGTCGCAAACCAAAGGGTGGGATGGTCTGTGAGGGTGGCGAATGCAGCCTAGGGGTCGGAAACTCCTAAGGGTCCGATGCCTATGCGTATACCAAGGGAGAGCCCAACTCAGAGGAACCCAGCTAAAGGGAGACCATCATGCGACACAAGCAGGGTAGTGTACAGGGTAAAGTGGTAAGAGAGTGGTGACGTCTGAAGTAGGTTGAGCTGATCATGACGAGGTCCATGAAGCTACCGATGAGGTCCACAATGAGAAGTCCGGAATGCCTTCGAGGAAGAGCCGCAACGTCGACGAGCTGAAGTAGCAAAACTGGAGTGGATGGAGTACTGAGAAGTCAAGGATGTGGGAAGGTAAGTCAGAGTCAGTCGTCGTATCGAGCAGGACGACGACGAGTGCGTTGTGGACGCTCAGAAGCATCTGGCTGTTGCTGAAGGTCTGCCTCAGATGGAGCAGGCTCGACTTCAGCGGTCTCCTCAGCCAGGGGAGAAGGAGGAGGGTCAGTGGGCTGAGGAGGAGCAGTGAACCCAGCAGGACGAGCACGGTCATAGGCACGCACCAACATGCGAGTGTGCTGCAAGTGCTCGAGGGGCTCCTAGGTAGCCTCCTCATCAGGGTAACCCTTCCAACGTACGAGATACTCGACGTGGGGAGGGTTGTCATCGGTGACTCGGCGGCCAATGATGTCTGAAACGAGGAATTCCTCGTGGCCATCCACCATGATATGTGGAGGGCGCTCGTATGGTCGTCCAACGAAACGCTCAGACGGACTGCGATAAGGAGGCAGTAACGAGACGTGGTACACATCGTGCACTCGAGCCTGGCGTAGATAGTCGGACAACTTCACACGAAAGCTGACCGGGCTAGAAGCCGTATCAGAACCGACGGCCTGAAGGATGCGGCATGGGCCAAAGAAGCGACGCTGAAACTTGTGAAGCGTGTCCGCTTCGAGCTGTAGGTGGCGGGCGTCGATAAGCACATCATCACCGACTTTGAATGGACGATCCATCCTCGATCGGTTCGCACGTGCTGCCATGCGAGTCTGGGAAGCGGCTATGTGCTCATGTGCGGTCTTCATGATCGACGTCATGTGTGCAACCCAATCATCCAGCGCGGGACAACTCGTGTGGGGGTGCAGCTAGGACGGTCGAAGGAAGTCCGCGGGAACAGGCGGGTGATAGTCGAGGTCGCAATAGTAAGGCGACATCCCCATGGCTGGCGAGACGGCGTGGTGGTAGGCTATCTTCGCGTGGGCAGGATGAAGATCCCACTGCTGGTCGTCACGAACAATCTTTCGGAGAATATCTCCGAGACTCCTGTTCGTGATCTCGGTCTGACCATCAGTCAGAGGATGGTAAGACGAGGAGAAGCGGAGCTGAGTGTCGTACACCTCGTAGAGCTGTCACTAGAATCGGCTGGTAAAGCGTGGGTCACGGTCAGCTATGATGCTCAGAGGTAAGTCGTGGTCACGCACGACTCGATGAAACACGATGTCGGTGACCTCACGTGCACTGATGGCATAGCAGCACAGAACAAAGCGTGCACGGTTCGTGAAGCGGTCGACGACAACCAGGATAGCATCATGACCACGGGGGGTCGGAGGACGAAGGGGACCGATAAAGTCCATCGAGATGGACTGCCAACGACCCTCAAGGATAGGAAGAGGCTGTAGCAAACCATAAGGCAAGTGGTTCGCACCGTTCACCTCCTGAAAGGTTGGATACTCTGCGGCGTAGTCCTTCACAAAGTCCTTGCGCTTCGGCCAGACGTACAAACGGCTCACACGAGCCAACGTCTTGTGGAAGCCCATATGACCGGCGGTTGCCTGGTCATGGAACTTTGCTACTGCTCGGACACGTAGCTGTCTAGTGGAGGGACCACAAATACGGGGCTCTCTGGTGCCCTGTGAACCGTGCCAGTACACAAGACCGTTGTCCCCGAGGGAGTAGTTCGGGACGGTTTTGCCACTCCAAAGGGTCGCGTGGATGTCGCGATAGTCGGGGCAGTGGCGGTACTGAGTGCGAAACTCGTCGATCACCGAGTGGTGGACGGTGGTGACCGAGATGGAAGAGAGCTGGATGTGCTCCTGGTCGTGGTCAGGGCTCTGGGATAAGGCATCTGCGACCCGATTAGTCTCACCCTTGATGTGCTCAGTGGTGAAACTAAACTCAGATAGGTCGCACCACTAGCGAGCCTGTCGAGCAGTGAGCTTCGGTTTTGTCAGAAAAGCCTGGACAACAGAGTTGTCTGTACGCACCGTGAAGTAGTGACGCCAGTGTCGAGCGGCATAAACGACTGCAAGAACCTCACCTTCATTAGAGGTGTAGTTTATCTCGGCAGGCAGGAGCTGACGGGAGTAGAAGGCTATCGGATAATCACCTGAGCGAGACTCGACAGTGTCGTCCTCGGCGATGGTAGGAGAATAGTCAATAGAAGGCTCGCCAGTAGCTGGACGAGTGTGAGTTTACCTGTATTTTTTTAGAAATGAATTTATGTTTTTTGCAGAAGTATGAGGTGTTTTGAAAAAATGTAGATGCAAAATTTAAAAAAAAAAAAAAAAAGGGTATGATTGATTGATTGATTGGTGGTGGGGGGAGGAGCCGCCCCACCTCCCGGCCACCCACCACGTGCACACACACATACACACACACACACACACACACACACACACACGCACACACACACACCCACACACTCGCATTCGCGCGACGATCTTGGAATCGCGCGTGCATACACACACACACACACACGCAGACACACACACACGCGCGCACACACACACACATGCACACACACACACACACACACACCCTCTCTCTCTCTCTCTCTCCCCGCCGCCCCAATACAATACTCTCTCCCTCTCTACTCTGTGTGTGTGTGTGTGTGTGTGTGTGTGTGTGTGTGTGTGTGTGTGTGTGTGTGTGTGTGTGTGTGTGTGTGTGTGTGTGTGTGT